AAACTCTCAAATACCAGCAAGAGCTATGGAATAAAACTATTGCTGCAATAGAGTCAAAAAATCAAACAGAAGCGCCAATTAATTTTGTAATAAACAGGCTAGAGAAAAATAAACAACTAGAGAAAGTTTAGGACCTCAAAGACATCAAACAAAACATCCATCTTACCAGACAAAGGAAAGCAGCTAGAAGAAAAAATGGTGCAGAAACTACAAAGGGTGTGGACGGGGAAGATATATTTTTTTTAAAGATTATTTATTTATGCATACAAAACTGGGGTACAAGCCAGAGGTGCAGGAGTGCTGAGAAGTTTTACCAGAGACAGTGTGGGGAGCAGGACAGGCAGACTGACAAATTACACAGCTGAGGGGAGCAGCGAGTGGGTCAGGAGAGGTCTGCCATGCTATGTGGATCACCTGGAAGATATTTCTTAAGAACCTCATTGCAGGGCCCTCCCTGGTGGCTTAGGAGGGTGGTAAAGCACAGCACTAAGAAGCTAAAGCCACTTCAGCATGAGTTTGATTCCCCGCCCCGGAGGTGACCCATGTGGTGCGGCAGACCTCTCCTGACCTGCCTGTACACCCTTAAGCAATGTGCTTCATCAGCCTGTTCTGCTCCCCACTCTGTCTCTGGTGAATCCTCTCACCACCCCTGCACCTCTGGCCTATACCACAGTTCTGAATGCATAAATAAATAAATCTTAAAAAAAAAAAAAAAACCCTCACTGCAACAGTTTTTGTAAGTGCACTTGAAAGTTTCCCCTAGAATTTCTAAATTATTGATTTTTTTTATATATTTCACTCAAACGAAACGTGATTAAAAATAGGCCTACAATGCTATGTGAGATGTTAGCTTGCATCTCACTTAAACCTTCACTGATAAATACACTGATGTAAATCATGAAAATTCTGTTTGAAGTTATATAAGTGAACTGTGGACATAAAATGGTCATGTCATTTGGATAATGTCACCAGCAGCACTTATGCAGTAACTACTGACAAACATTCATGGCTAGTGATGTACAAAATAAAATTTTCTTGGAGTGATAAAAACTATACCAGTTATATAAGTTGTGTCTGATAAAGACAATAAAATTATAAATTAACTAGAATGTTTATATACATGGGAACAGGAAATATATGCATCATACTAACAACTGTCAGTAATTGCTAACTTTGTCTATGGAAACATAAAAAACTTTCAGCTATATCAGCATCAAAAATAAAAATGGTGGGGGGGGCCCTCCATGGCAGCACAACTCACTTCATGATGAGTTCAATCTCCGGCCAGCTAGGTGACCAATATGGCGTGGCAGACCTCTCCTGACCCGCCTGCTGCTCCCCTCACCAGTGTATTTCCTTGATCTGCCTATTCTACTCCCCACTCTGCATCTGATGGATCCTCTCACTGCTCCTGCACTTCTGGCCTGTACCCCAGTTCTGTACACATAAATAAATAAATCTTTATTTCAAAAAAATGGGCAAACATTTGTAACATAGATGACAAAGAGCTATCTTTAAGTGATTAACTGTTGTGATAGAAAATTGGGCAAAGGAGCTAGACTGACAGTGTACAAAAGAATAGATTTAAGCAATGTCTGGAAGAAAGAAAGTTGGGTGAGTGGAACTTTTGATATGTTTTCACCCACAGTGTATGCACAGTATTTTTCATAACCTTCCCTACACTGCCAGACATTAAGAAATTAGGAAAGACATTAGGAAATTTTAAGAGTGGTTCATTATATTCACTTAATGCCTTCTTAGATTGTGACTACTTTTCTGAATTAAACCCTAGGCCTCTCAACCTCCACTCTTGGAGAGCTTTCTCCAGAGTGTTCCCTTACACACATTCTCTAGAACCTTTTGTCTTCCTCACCTGACCTCTCTGTAGGCTCCTAACTGTTCACCCTGCTTTCTGTCTCTTCTCTCTTAATGCAGCTTCTGGACTCTTAAAGCTAGAGTAATCATTTCTCTTATTCACTCAAAAACCTCAGCAGCCACTGCATTGCCTATGACACAGACTTCAAATTCTGCACAGCAGTCTTCTCATTGCACATCTTCTACCTCATCTTTGTCATTATCCATCTTTCCCCAATATGCTGTGTGGTAGCTCTGTTCAGCTACTGGCTTTCCATAAATACATGACACTTTCTCACCACCAGGCTGCACATACAGCTCCTTCTGCCTTCACTCCCTAGCCTGTGCACACAACCACCTGGAGTCTAGCACATCAGCCACATTATCCAATAACTGATTACAGTCCTGCCTTTCTAGAAAGACTACATATTTAGAGCTGAGGACATGCCTTACAAGGTTGGTATAAAACACAAAGAAATGATCGGGTTTTTTTTAACATGTAATTTTTTACACCACTAAAATATTTTCCTGCAACTGCGAAAGTGCTAGAAGCTCAAGTGTTTGTTTTCTCATTAAGTAAAATGCCATAATTATACAGAGAAACACATTTCCTCCCACGACTTTTCAAAGCGTAATTTGCAACTCCCCAAGATGATGTTAACTCAAGATTGATTTAAAAATTTTGACTTAATATTAAAACATTTCACCTTTTAGTTTCTGTGTAGGAGTGCCAGGGAAAGCCATGAGTGGATGTGGGTCAGTCAGGCTACATCCTGGAAGCATCAGGCAACACTCTGGAAACAAGGTTCTGTAATCAAGGGCCAAAACTGTGCTGAGTGCAAGCCAAAGCAGGGAAAACAAAACAAGTTATGAGAGTGTCCCTCCTACTCTGACCATGTATGGACTTATTTCAACAAAAGGAAGAATATATTGTAATATGTCCAGTGTTAAAGCTCAAAACTTGCCTCTAATGTGGTGGTAAAATATGCTAAGTTTTCTTACAGACTAAGTCTTTGAAGTTGACGTAACTTTAGGGAAGTTTTGAGCAAAGCTGTAGCACAATCTTGTATTTTTAAAGGATCACGCTAGATGCTATGTGGAGAATTGACTGTAGGGAAGATGGGAACAGGGAAATCAGGTTATAAAAATCCCAATGAGATAATGGTGACTTGGACCAGTTTCCTCTGGTGGGAAATGGTTGGGATGTGGATTTATTGAGATGGACAGTCAACAGGATTTAGACTGAGTGTCATGTGAAGATGTACTGTGGGACCATTGCTAGTCTCCTACATATGCAAATTTGTGTTTGCTAATTTTTCTTGTAACCTCAAAAATCAGCCATGCAACCAGCCAGAGTGCCTGATGTGAACATTCCTAGCTGAGCTCAAAGTGACACTGCTTTCAAAATTCTCCTACTGCGAACATTCCTTTGGTCTATTTTGTGCCGTTTTTTGTTATTTTTGTAGATTTTTTTGTTTAAAATGGCCCTGCATGTACAGCTGAAGTGCTAGCTGATGTTTGTTCCTAAGTTCAGGTTGTGATGTGCATTACATAGAAAATGTTACTTGCACTTAGGCAGGAGTTATAGTGCTGACAGCCAGTTCAATGGTAATGCATTACCAATCCACATTAAATATCTTTAAACAGAAACACCATTAAGCAAAATCAGCATACCAAGGATATAGTGCCCAATTAATGAAAATGTGACCAAAGCCTTGTAAACTATTTTCCCCTCCTGGACCAGTGGCTCAACTTCTGTTGATTGGATATTCCTGATTTCACAGAACTACCATAAATATCAAAAATGAACTGTAAAAACTGGTGAGTAAAAGAGTAATTTAGAAAATTCAAAAAGCACTATGCTGAAGGGACTTGGGAGTACCATAGCCTGACTACATGAAGCTAGCCTGCACAGAAATTCCAAGAAATCACTGTTGTCCTACAAGAATGATGGGGATTAGACTAGAATCTCACATCCCACCGCTGGACAATAGCAGAGACAGGTATGTATTCTCAAGCCCGATTGGGTGTTATTGCTGAGCCCAGTAGAATCACTTGGGAGTTTTATAGAAATGCTACTATGGTCCTCCACCACAGCTTGTTATGGAACATAAAATTCTCCATGTGACCTTAATACATCAAAGCTCAAGCTTCAATACACCTTAAACATACACACAAGGCCCATTAAGACAGGCAACCGGGCCATTTGCCAGTGTTTTTATTCTGTGATGGGAAGCTAGAATTTATATTTACAGCAAATTCCCAGGACTCTACAGCAGAGTAACCGGTGAGCCAGCACTCTTGTCAAAACAACTCAATCTCATCTGGCTCCTTTCCCTGTGGTCTTCATTTCTCCTGCACAGCACCTAACATGTGGCACGGACTGCCTCAGCCCTCACCAAAAGATGCATGGAGTCCTCTCTTCTACCCACACATCATCCTGGTTTGCCACAGCCATGTTCATTCTCAAACTAAGCCCTGCAAACAGGTCACCTGGCACAGGAATGTGCTCACTTCTGTGAAGGGGGTGGGATTTTTCTGATTGACAGGCCTCCTCAGACCACCAGAGAGGGTGGGAAACCAGTGTAAAAACCATACTTAAGAGGATAAACTCAAAAGTATTAATTTCTTCCCCAGAAGGAAGAGCACTGAAAGGGACACACAAGGGCTTTTAAAGTACTGGTTGGTTCTGAAGCTGGGGGGGGCGGGGGGTAATACAGGGTTTTCATTTGAACTATGCCTTGCATGTTTTATTAATGTATGTGTAACATGTATGTATGTGCACACACAAGCACAACTTCAAATAATCACAGCTCCCACTTTCCAGTATGACTATTCGTCAAAATCAAAGAGTGCAACACCTGTTAAAATGACCATTTCTCAGGCCAGGCCTCATCAAATTACCCTCTGAGGCCAGGGCAGCTTTCAGTTTTGCTAATAGTGTGAAGGTTCCTCAAGATGGTATGACAGCAAAGGAAATTCTTACTGCATAATCCTCATCTTTCTCTTTCATGCTGTTTACATTTCTGTCAACTTTAACATCTTATTTGCAATTGCAAAGGCTGCCGCAATAGAAAAGCATGGAAAGATCATTGCCCTATTAATCCTAGTATCTTTAACATATTATTGCTACAGAGTTTTTTTTTCTTCACAATTTCCATTCTTTCCAAGTTTTATTCCAAAAACAGGGTAGAAGATGATTAGGATGTCCATGAAGAGTATTCAACTGGACAGCAACAAGGACCCAATTCAGTTGGCAATGTCCTATTTTCCCACTATACAAGTTTAAAAAAAAGTCAAAGCTTTCTCAGTGTGGAACAGTAGGACAACTTTTACTCTGAAATGGTTCCCTAATGAATTAGAAAAGCTGGTTTTGTTGTCTATTTATCCTTTTCTTTCTGTTCTTTTTCTTTCTTTTCTCGTTCAGCTTTAGCTTCTTCTTCCTCATGCTTTTTGATCAACTGCTCCACTTCCTTCTGTTTGAGAACTCTGATGACCGTCTTTCCATTCTCTCTTGTCAGCGTGGCAATTTCCACTGAAGCAAACACATAATTTGTGTTATAGGCAAGGACACTTAGCAAACAAACTGAAAAGGCAACCATAGTTTAATCTCTCCCCTTTAGTTTTAAATCATCACTCTTACATGCTTAATATGATTACGGGTATTTTATTTCCATAAAATACCTCAGATCCTATAATGGGCTGCTGAAAAAGCATTACTATTTTTATTTAAATATCTTTCTTCTCCTCCCCATCTGAACAATTTCTTTGTTAGAGCATCTGAAAGGTTTAGCCAGTCAGACTCTATCACCAGTAACTTACCCTTCCTACAGACATTTTTTTTCTTTCTTTTAAACGTGAGATGCAGCTATACCAAGGTGATGGACAAGAAAAGTAGGCTGATATCAAAAAGAGCTCTGTGAGGAGGGGAATTTAAGCTGTTACTCCCTCCAATTAGGTAGCAGACAACAATGGGAATCCACAAGAAATGGCATTCTCTGTGACAAGGAGATAAATTATCCTAAACCAATTCAATGTTAACTTACCACAATTTTGAAAGATATCATTTAGAAATATTGTTTTATATAGCCATACAAGACAGCATTTAAAATTACAAATTTGATTTTAATATGAGAGCGGGAGATTCAGAAGAACATCAAGTGTCCATGTCTATAAACGTAATTGCACATGTGTTCATCACCATGACAGATACCACTGTCGTGACATAGATAATTGCAAAGTGAAAGTAACACGGCTCAGCTTTCTAACCATGAACATTAAGCCCATTCAAGCTCACGTCCTCCAGCCTGAATGCAGGGTAGGAGCATGCGCCATGGCTCATCAGTGCTGATCTTGATCAAGTCCTTCAGTCTCACTAAGCCCTATATCTCTCCAGAAACAAGGAACAGGCCACCTATCTAAACAGAAACTATAAAGTCACTATTTCAGTAAACTATGATAACAAAAGTTTTATTTGCTCAATTCCTTTGAACTGACTAAAGAAGTTAGAGTAGATACCAATTACCTTTTTCAGCAGAAAGTTTACTAACATCCATGGTTTTATTTAGAACTTTGATAGCTAAAGCAAGTGCTGACTTCAAAGTCATTTCTCCTTCTTTGTAGTCTTGCTTTAACATTGACACAGCTGCCTGTAAAAAATAATCAACAAAGAGAATTTCCTTTAAATTGTCATGTTTTGGAATGCGGACTGGTCAAAAGAACAATGTTTGAATTATCACTTATTACAACCAGTAAGAATCTTGGCGACAGGAATGGCAAACATGAAGTGGCATGGAAGGGTGCCTCTGAATGGGGTTTTCAACCTGGGGTACTCAGATCCTTTAAAAAAGGGATCCGGGCCCTCCCTGGTGGCGCAGCGGGTTAAAGCGCAACACTAAGAAGCTAAAGCCACTTTTGCATGAGTTCGATCCCCGCCTGCCCCGGAGATGATCCACATGGCGTGGCAGACCTCTCCTGACCCGCCTGCTGCTCCCCTCAGCAGTATACTTCGCAGATCTGCCTGTTCTGCTCCCCTCTGTCTCTGGTGAATCCTCTCACCCTCCACATCTCTTGCCTGTGCCCCGGTTCTGTACAAATAAATAAATAAATCTTAAAACAAAAAAAAAGGGATCCATAACTCTCCTGTACTGCTGGTGGGTTTGCAAACGAGTACAACCACTGTGGAAAACTGTTGGGAAGTTCCTCAAACTGCTAAACATGGAGCTTCCCTACGACCTAGCAATCCCATTCCTAGGTATCTACCCCAAAGACACAAAAACAGTGATTCAAAAAGATACCTGCACCC